GAATTTATCGTAATAGATACGGATCTGAATAAGCGACTGGAACACGGCTGTTTGTCAAAAGCATACGACTTCGAACTCGCGTAAATGTACATTTGCTAAATGCGATAGCATGAACGCTCTTCGAAAACATATGTTCGAAAGTGCTAAATGTTGCATTTTAAATGCAGCAAAAACGTTGCATTAATTGATTGGCATAACCAGGATTTAAAACACTGGAAACGTTGTGTGGAATTGTTCAAATATAAAATAAATTGAAATAAAATAAACTGAAAATATATTAAAACTAATTTAAACATAATATGGTTCATTGCCTGGTACCAACAGGTTTTCCAAATTCAAAAGGAGGCCAAAAAACCCAAAACCCTACTGTTTAGTTTCTTGCTAGTGCGTTGCCACTTTTCTAAAGCTCTTTATTTCATGAATTCGAGAACTACGCATAAACGGCAACACTTTTGAATTCATGCAATGAAGAATTCATGAATTCTGTCGCATAAACGTTGTATTTGTCTACCAACCAACCAAATGAATAATAAGCGACCAAATTTAGCCGGAAACAAAGTGGCAACACTGCAAAAAAGGACCATTTCATACAGACGAGCCATCAACGACATTCATACAGAGTCAGTCACTACCTACCTCGACTCTCGACCTATGAATGCCGTAATACGAGCCCAATCACCACCTGTAGAAGAGACGGAGCTTCAACTGCCACGAGAGACCCGCGTTACCCTGGCTCAATTACGGTCTGGATACTGTAGCCGCCTTAACAGCTACCTGTCCAGACTCGACCCCAATATCCCCAATGAGTGCCCGGCATGTGGAGAGTCCCCCCACGACACCAACCACCTCTTTACATGCCAGCTCAATCCGACTCAACTAACACCCCTCTCCCTCTGGTCCGGACCCATCGAAACAGCTCGTTTCCTGGGCCTCCCGTTAGTTGAGCTTGACGACAATGATTGAACGTAGACCCGAAATAGGCGGGGCTTAGTAGTGCCGCTACAACAACAACAACAACCATTTCAAGACTATCGTGTTATTAAACTCCATGAAAACTATCGATATATTCGATAATGCTATCAATTTATTTTCAATATCTAATTGTACTGCTTCCAGCAATTTATTTTGTTTCCAATAGAAAAGTGCAAAACAAAAGTTAAAGATCCAAAATAAAATGGACAAGTTTTCTCATGACTTGACCGTTGCGCTCATGGAAGAGACTTCCTTTTTAGATCGTGCGCGAGTTAGTAGGTGTGGTCAAAGGCGAAGGACTCGGTCAACTGGCAATTTGCGTAAGAATATATGGGTGAAATCATAAATGTGAAAATAAAAAGCATCTGTCTTTTTTTCTACCCGGAACCCTGTTTTAAAACTACCACCTAGCCGGGGTTACTCACATTTCACATTACAATCTACTGGAGTAAGAAATGAAAAGAGACTGATGGTTTGTATTTTCAAATTTAGGATTTCACCTTATGTTTTTAAAATAACCTCAAGGTGCATATTGTAAAATACAGAAACATGCAAGTATTGCGGATTTCGGAAGAATGAAGCCAAAAATATTATATACCCATCTCTATATTTTTTTAAGCGTGTGCACCGCAGCCAACAGAGAAGGAAGATTCTTCAAGTAGCCCAAGTGATGGCCGAAAGGCAACTAATATAGATTGCCTGGAAATTAAAAATGTGGAGCTACCAACGATGAGCGATTCAGATGATAAAGAAATACCACTTCCTTGTAATTCGTCTCTTAAAACATCACTTAGACTAGGCACGCTTGAGTCAGATTCATTAAATGAAACTTTTAGCCCTGCACGGTAGGAGATTATTTAATTCTGTTTAATAATCTAATTAATTATACTTCTAAAACTATAGATTTTTCAAACCAAGTGCAAGAAGAAAACGCAAGTGTAAACGAATGTCAATGGAGTGCGACTTAGGTATTATCACACCAGACCGCCAGGACAAAACTGCCAACATGTCAAATGAGATTCCAGTTAGTATTGTAGGTTCCGGAACTTTGAGAAAGCGCGTTCTCAAGCCAGATCCAAATAACCGTGGCAATTTATTTTTCTGCGGAAAACGTAAACGGTCAAACCGAGATCGATACCACGATTATGATCAGTCAAAATCTCACTCGACAAGCATGCCTCGTTTTACTAATATGGAGGATAATAGATTACGACCTAGGAGCTATTCCTCTACGTCAAAGCCAAATAGTGAACGATTGCTGCCTTTAAATAAAGGACTTCTGTCAAAAATTGAAAAAATATCACAATCACAAAATGTTTGCCTTGAGCAAAAACCGCAAACAATGAATTTGAACATTGCTGAAACCTATATTCCATCAACAATATCGGGCGTTATTCAAGCCCCACAGCAAGAACACGCTAGTCTACGGAAAAAACGAGGCTTATATCGCCGTAATCAACTACAACAACTGCAGTTTACTGTTGATCAGCATCCAATGGATTGCGGTAGCCTAAATGACTTTTTAAGTTCAAGTTCATTAAGCTCATCTGATTCTGATTACGCTAAAACCACAAACGATACAGACCGCGAAGGTGATGATGAACTAACAGATTGGCCGGGAAACGAATATGTTAGTGGCTCTTCTGATATTAAAAACGATTCTAAACGAAAACTTACAAAGAAATGTAATAACATCGTTAATAAGTCTGATGAAAGTAGTTTTGCTGCTGTAATTGGGGAAGATGATACAATTATGCTAGGTAGCGAGGATTGGTCACCCAACATTTCACAAGATAATCTGGAACTACGACATCGGCCGTCAGAACCTATCACTATCGTAAATAAACGGCTTGACCTAGGTCGAACTATATGTGATGACACCATCATTCCATTTAAACAAATAGAAAGCGAGATGTCAGGAGAGACATCAAATACTTTTTTATCTTCGCCGCCAGCTCAGTTAAATACAATAAGAGAAATACGCGCCGGTTGCCGTCGTATTAAAGAGGAAAGGCCTGGGTTTAGCATTAAAACAAGTGTAAATGAACGTCTTGCGCGCTTTTTACAAGATCCACGACAAGTACAAATCCGCCTTCCTGATGTAGAAATCTATGAACATGATAGTCTACTTAATTTGGCAACATTGTATTCTTTGCGAATTTCGCTGTCCAATGGATGCGCAGTACTTAACAAAACTAGGTAACTACTTGTCATAGTTAATGTATGCATATTTGCAAACGTTTTAATTAAATGTTTACAGTAATACCACACAGTCGGTTAATATCGACCAGAATAATTTGCAAAAATGTTTACTGAGTGATTTTAAACGGCGATGCTATGGAAACAAAAGTGATGTTTTGCCATGAAATTGAAAGGACATATTGCAACTGCAGTGATGGGACTAAAATTAGGAAAAAAAACGAGCCAGATTTATCTCCGGTCAAGACTATTTTCACGAAATTTCTTAGGAAGACATTTCACTTCGGAATAACTAGTATAAAGCTGAATTTTTTCTTTTGTGGTTTTGAACAATATAACAAAAGTCCTCATCGATTCAAGTGACGCTAGATTTGTTACCTAAAAGGTAAAATTTCGTAATAAACGGTTTTTAATCTTTTTAACACTCAGTTTTGAAAAATTGTGGTTATGGCAATTTCGAAAATGCGACGACTAGAAATAATCATTCAGCATCATTGCGTAAGTCGTAAATTAGACTAAATTGTACGACTTGACCATGATTCAATAATAGGGTCCATTCAGAAATGCGTCAAGCCAAAGCATCAGTCTCTTTTTATTTCAAAACTATAATTGATGGAAGTGTCTTATTTACGCAACTAATACGATAGACAAACGGGCTCGATTATTTGCATAACCAGCCTTAATTTGCTTGAACTCATGCATTTTCCTCTTTAAAATGAGCATAAGCAGCCGAACAAATGCACGCAATTTTTGGGAATTAACTCGGAACCGGGGAATTTTCGATGACAACACTGGTAAAAACGGCCAGTTGTTGTCTTTTGTACAAGTAAGCAAACGAAGCAGTCGAGTTTCGCGTACGCGGTAGCCGAGTGGTGAGAGTTGTGAGCTACAAGCCTTTAGCTGCCAGGTTCGATATTCGGTTGGAGCTATTGCGAAAAATTTTTTGTTAATATTATTTATTTTATTTTATTTTATTTATATATTTAATTTTACTTTATTTTATTTTCATTTGCTTTATTTTATATCACATTTCTTATTTTACTATTAGTTAATTTAAATTTTTAGAGATGAATTTTGTTAAAAATTCAACAACTGACTGAAAGTAACGTAAAAAAATATAGAACTTATAAAAGAGATGTTTCGAGTCGGGAGGGGTCTCTCCGCATGCCTGCAGTAGTCAGAACGAAGTTGGGCTATTGTGGTTCTTGTCTCCCGCGGCAGATTAAGCTCCGTCTCGTCAACGTCCGGTGGTTGTATGCCTAGAACGTGCGATTTCATTTTTTTAAAGGCGTATTAACGTTAAAATGTGTTTTTCGGTTAATTTCGCTAGTGAAAATGCCTATAATTTATGAAAATGGGGCTGGTAGCAATAACAAATACATAAAAATGAGAAGCATTCCTAGCATAGCTTAAAAGTTTACCAGTGCTGTTGTGTGGTTCACAGTTCAAAAATTGTCACTCAAATGAAATCGGCCAACTGGTTGTAAGCTATGCTAGGAATGCTTCTCATTTTTATGGTATTTGTTATTGCTAACGTCCCCTTTTTCATAAATTATATGTATTTTCACTGGCGAAACGAACCGAAAAACACATGTTAACGTTAATTCGCCTTTAAAAAAAGAAATCGCATTTTAGGTTGCCAACTTGTCTACACACAGAGCAACAAGTTGACCAATCTGCCTCAAAAATCAAAAATTTTTGATTTTTCTTCAACCTGACGAACAACTTGACGAAGGGGAATTTTCGATGACAACACTGGTAAAAACGGCCAGTTGTTGTCTTTTGTACAAGTAAGCAAACGAAGCAGTCGAGTTTCGCGTACGCGGTAGCCGAGTGGTGAGAGTTGTGAGCTACAAGCCTTTAGCTGCCAGGTTCGATATTCGGTTGGAGCTATTGCGAAAAATTTTTTGTTAATATTATTTATTTTATTTTATTTTATTTATATATTTAATTTTACTTTATTTTATTTTCATTTGCTTTATTTTATATCACATTTCTTATTTTACTATTAGTTAATTTTAATTTTTAGAGATGAATTTTGTTAAAAATTCAACAACTAACTGAAAGTAACGTAAAAAAATATAGAACTTATAAAAAAAAGAATGTAAAAAAAATAAAAAAAGTATACTGGCCGTGGGACTCGAACCCACGACCTTGCGGCTGGTTTATTCGCATTACTGCCGTCTGTAAGGGTAAAATTTTAATTTGCATTTATGCTTATTAATTCAAATTAATTTTCTCCGTCTGTCTACCATATAAGTTACAATTCGGCTTTTAACGGTTGCGTATATTTGACATTTCCTATAACTATAATTGATATAGTTTTGAAATAAAAGAGACTGATTGTTGTTGTTGTTGTTGTAGCGGCTACTAAGCCCCGTTCGGGTCGGTTCATCCGTCAACGTTGTCGTCCATTTCAGCTAGGGGGAGGCCCAGGAAGTGTGCGACTTCCACAGGTGCTGTCCATAGGGACAGGGGCGTCAGCTGAGTGGGGTTCTCAGGGCATGCGAAGAGGTGCCGTGAGTCATGTGGCGACTCTCCACATGCCGGGCATTGGTTAGTCACATGATGATGCTTTGACTTGATGCATTTCTGAACGCACCCATAGTTGTGTTTAATGAGACCGAAAAAAGTGCAGAGCAGCTCAAGTTAGAGCAGAATCGAGCAGCTGTCAAACAAACAATAGAGCAAGTTAGACCAAGTCAGAAATCTCGTAAAACGCTTTTCAGGCAGAAATTCTGAAAACAGTTGCGTGCTCTAACCGCCCTATTCCCACAACACTAACAAAATTCATCATATGATTATTGTCACAATTACTGCGCCTAAAACATAATATAAACATTATTTCGCCGTTGTCACTTACTCAGTAGGTCATAACAATAAAACTTCCAATTGTCATACGACAGCTTAAAATAAATTTGCGACATATGGGGTGTTCACAGTTCGTTCCAAATAGTGTCTGAAAATGTAGACGTCTACATTTTAAGACGTTTTCTAACCGTAAAATCTGTGGTGTTGTTGTTTCCCATACAAAATTGGAAAACGACGCCGTCTACATTTTGTCACACTCAAAGGTATGTTTTTTACGCGTCTACATTTTGCAACCTCGCAGCAGGGTTGCATTATGGCAATACTAATCGCATTTTTTTTATTTATTGGGCACGTTTTTTGTATTTGCATTTAATTTGAGCGCAATTTCTGATGAAAAGAAACAAATCAAGGAAAAGAAATAACAAATATTAGGAATTGGTAATTAAGTTAAATAATTACAATTTTTCAGAAACAAAATCGAAAGGCGATATATAAAAAATGCAAGAGGAAATGTCTGGCAACACCAGCAAAGTTTTGAGACGATTTTGCGACGACTGCTAGAAAGGGGTGCGCACAGTTTGATGCTAAAGATGTCTCAAAATGTAGACGTCTACATTTTCAGACGCAATTTGGAACGAACTGTGAACACCCCAATAGTATTAGGCGCAGTAGTAAAGGCAATAGTCAGCCACTGAGTTTTGTCAGCGGTGTGGGAATAGGGCGGTAAGTTGCTCTAGTTCTACTTAGCGCAGGCTCATGAAACAAGAAGTAGAGTAAGTTAAGCTGATGCCAGATAAAATGCTTGCTTCGCTTTGCGTAACAGATTCGCTTTGACAGATAATATGGTAAACAGAATTGCAGTGGATAGCGGGTAACGGGCTGGCGGGTGGCGAACAGCTGATCCATTCCAGTCGGAAAATTCGGTCGGGTAAACACTATTGCGACCGGAATTGGCCTAAAACACACGAGAATAATTGTGCATGCATTAAACTGCATTCACGATTCTACTATTGCATACAAACCGCTATTCTCGTTACAATTTTCTACACTGCTTTTATTCATCTCGGGTGACACGAAGAAAACAAAATTGGTCATGCATAATTACTATCGTGTGCTTTGGGCCATTGACATGAAATGGTCAAAAAAGCAACCCTGAGTCTTCGACCTGACGGGAAAAATCTAAATAATCTAAATATTTTCCCGACGGCAAGAAATCCGCCCCCGCCGCAGTTTGTACAATTTCATGCCATTCAATGTGTTCTAATATTAACAGCGGGTACCCGTCAGCCCGTTAAAGGCCCTACACACGGATCGATTTATCAGCCAAAGAGTAGACCAACTGCTGTTGTTGTTGTAGCGGCTACAACAACCCCGCCCAGATCGGTTAATATCTCAGTCGTTGTCGTCAAGTTCCACTAACGGCAGCCCTAAGAAGCGTGCAGCCTCCATAGGGTCGGTCCACAGGGACAAAGCCGTTAGGGTTGTCGGGTTTTCCGGGCATGCAAAGAGATGTTTCGAGTCGGGAGGGGTCTCTCCGCATGCCTGCAGTAGTCAGAACGAAGTTGGGCTATTGTGGTTCTTGTCTCCCGCGGCAGATTAAGCTCCGTCTCGTCAACGTCCGGTGGTTGTATGCCTAGAACGTGCGATTTCATTTTTTTAAAGGCGTATTAACGTTAAAATGTGTTTTTCGGTTAATTTCGCTAGTGAAAATGCCTATAATTTATGAAAATGGGGCTGGTAGCAATAACAAATACATAAAAATGAGAAGCATTCCTAGCATAGCTTAAAAGTTTACCAGTGCTGTTGTGTGGTTCACAGTTCAAAAATTGTCACTCAAATGAAATCGGCCAACTGGTTGTAAGCTATGCTAGGAATGCTTCTCATTTTTATGGTATTTGTTATTGCTAACGTCCCCTTTTTCATAAATTATATGTATTTTCACTGGCGAAACGAACCGAAAAACACATGTTAACGTTAATTCGCCTTTAAAAAAAGAAATCGCATTTTAGGTTGCCAACTTGTCTACACACAGAGCAACAAGTTGACCAATCTGCCTCAAAAATCAAAAATTTTTGATTTTTCTTCAACCTGACGAACAACTTGACGAAGGTTTGCCAACTTGCCTACACACGGCTTATTTACCACCAACTTCTAGCGGTTGGCCAACTGGTTCGGGTCTACGTAACCGTAATATCTGGCCAAGGACTGTCACTCCAGCAACACTCCCCAAAAACTCTGCTGCTACAACAACAACCACCACAAACTTCTAGCGGTTGGCCAACTGGTTGGCCGATAAATCAATGCTTGTGTAGGGCCTTTTATTTACCACCAATTTCTAGCAGTCTAGCACATTCCCACGACAGCCGGTTCTACGTACCGGAATGACTCGGGTTTTACCCGACCAAGGGCTGTTGTTTCGGCGATCTAACCCCGTTTAGGTCGGCGAAGTATCTCAAAAGTTGTTCGTCCATAGGGCTACATTCGCTACGTATTCTTCTGCTCAGGGCTGACATCGAGTCAAACCCAGGACCAGAAACCTACACCTGCTATGTATGCCAGAGACGACTACACCACAACTCCACCTCAGTCAAGTGCAATACTTGCGAGGGGT